CCCTATGGTGTCTCATCTCAAATTGGTTCAAAGAATACTCCGCTACATCAAAGGCTCCATTCATCTTGGTCTCAACCTCACGACTGCTTCACAACTTCAGTTGTCTGCCTTTTCCGACGCCAATTGGGCCGGTTGCTTATCCACCCGTCGCTCAACTACGGGATATTGCACCTTACTTGGTTCGAATAGTATATCCTGGTGCGCTAAGAAACAACACTCGATGTCGAGATCAAGTACCGAAGCTGAATATAGGGCTATGGCCAGTACCGCTGCTGGGTTAACTTAGCTTACATACTTACTCAAAGATCTTCAGGTTCCTGTTATCTCTCCGCCGATTCTCCATTGTGACAACATCAGCGCCTTGTATATGACTGTTAATCCCGTCTTCCATGCCCCGAGGAAACACATTGAGCTGGACTATCACTTTGTACGTGAGAGGGTTTAGTTGGCTTACTCATTACTAAGTATATTTCTTCCTCTCAACAAGTGACTGACATTTTCACTAAGCCTGTTCAGCGGACTATGCTCCCTTTCTTTCTCACCAAACTGTGCCTTCATCCCCGGCTCAGTTTGCGGGGGTATATTAACAATACTGGCTCACAATTAGAGTCCGAATCAGAGTCCATGAGTATGAGGAGCGATAAGGACGTGTGGAGGGATAAGGCAGCACATACTTAGCTTGATCAGAGGTAAAATATGCTTAGTAACAAGTCTGTAAAAGTGCAACTCCCTCAAGTATTTCTATTACTTTTACTCTCTTCTGTTTAAACGACTTAAAGAGATGAAGATTATCTCTTCTGTTTTAGCACAAGGCTTTGTCTCCGTCAGATTAGTTTGACGGTTTCTTTAGTTGTAATGAAAGCTTATCGGATGATTCTCAGTCTTGCAATAATCTATAAATATCAACTGCTATGTACTGAAACCTTTAAGTCGATAGTAATAGAAAATGTATAGTTCAGCTTTTTGTTTTCTATCTTCTTCATAATCATCGTTATTTATTTTCTCAATTCGAGTTCTTGCTCTAATTATTAGATTTTCGCTTGGACCCCACTTAAATATGGGTAAAACCCCTTCTTATAAACCCGGGAATCGAACCCTGGTCTATTACCAGAAAAGATAGCGCCCTAACCATTGGGCTATCATTCAATTCCCAAAACACAATCGATATTATTAGTCTTAAAATAATGAAAAAATATAACAAAACTTCATATTTACATATTTGTTTTCCCCGGAACGGTGGTGCCTCCAGGGAGGGCATACACACAATTTCATCAATGGCCTAATGAAATATGAACCTGCTATTACAACATAAAAGCTACTTGCTTTGGACATATGGAAAAGAGAATTGGCTAGAAATGACTAACATCTGGTCTGAGGAAGTAATGAAGTGAAACTGTGATGAGGTTTTAGGTTTTGGCATGCTACAATGAACAGAAATGCCATTATATTAACTGTTTCTCATCTCCATAGTTGTAGAATACCTTGTTTACAAATTTGCATGTTGTATCTTACACATATGATTCTCAGAATGGGATTGAGAGAATGGGTACAAGATAAACTTCATCTGGACACCACTTTACTATCAACTTCTCATGGAAAGAAAACCGAAACCCAGAAAATATGTTTAAAAAGATAATATTATTGTTCCAGTGATGCTTCAGAGTTCCATCAAACTCAAAGAACAGAGTTGAGCTCGCTCTTGTAAACGACAGAGTTCCACGATGAGTTTCGAGGAAGAAATGTATCCTGCAAAGTAAAGCCAGAATATGTCACCCTGATATGAAAGGCAATTCTTCATTTATGTCCAGCGAAAAGAAAACAGAAGTGGTTCAAGTAACATGATGGTTCTAAGCAACCAGAAAATAAGCAGCAGGAAATTGGTGAAACATCCATGAAAACTCAAGGAAGGCAACTAAATGGAGAATAAATCGAAATTGCCAGAAACAGCAAGCAGGGATCGGGTTATGGTGTAGTCCAGAGGGCTGGCCTGCTCTCCTATCAATTGGAAAGACCTATCAAAGTTGGTTCGACAAAGTCCCATCCCGATAGGTTTATTTCATTGAGCACAAATGGAGGTCGTAAACATAGTGCAGGGGTTGTTCAGACCGTTATAGCAAGTACTCTTTATCTTACAAGACATCATAGAGTACTATGCACAAAGACCATTAATCAACACAGTTCATGGACAACAACTAACCTTACCAATAACCATTCATCTTCCAGTACTAGTGACATTCTTTCTCATCTATAAGATAAGAAACTCCCTTGCAAGTTCCAAGATGTATTTGGCTTATGTATGAAAGACTTAAATGTTAAATCTGTTTCTGAAAATAAATCTTGCACATCACTATGAGAATGAGAAGAAGATTACAAGATGAACGAAGCAATAAGTTTCATTGATGCCATGTTAATGTGATTGCCCCTACAAAATGCAACTTCCTATCTGTGTCCTGGTCCATACAGATAGAATACCTGGATATTTTAATAATGCACTGAATGATGAGGAAGCTCTCTTGACAAAGTTTGGTGTGACTAAGATCTTGGTATGAACGAAAGCACCAAATATCCAACTGGAAAAGTTTGCGAGGAGGGAATCTGCCTATTGTGACCTAGATGGTTTATGATAAGGATTTGTTCAAGTGGAACATGTGGAGACATCAACTTATAAGAAAAGTGAAACTATTCTCAGCATCATCCCACGTCTCAAGTAAATCACCAACAGAAACTAACAAATTCAATTTCAGGGCAACCTAAGTGAATGGTGCAGTATATCAATATTATCTTCCTAACATTTGATATATTTCCATATGTCATTTATTCTGCAAGAGATGCAGTAAGCATCTCTAATCTGAATCCAGGGCATTGCAGAACCTTGATAATAAATTTGTTCAGCTGTACACAGCATAACGAAAGCTTCAGCTTGACTTGGATCCCTTATTAACCTTGTGTAAAGCTTTAGATTTTAAACATTGGATGAGAATGATCAAGTTACATATAGGAACTAATAAGTTAAACTGCTCAAGAGAGCGAAAACTGAGAACTCAACTGCACAGGAGAGCATGTCACCCTACCAACACAGACTCCCGAAATGGAAACTACAGCTGACTCCTCTCAAGAAGGCAGTTACGAAGAAAAATAAACATTCCTGCTACCGAAAGTTAAGCCCCTTGTAAAGCTTAAATTCCAAATTCCCTGTTTTAGAGATGAAGTTCTTTTTTTTATGTTAAGCATTGAGTAATAAGTATGAGCAAGGAGCAATGAGGATAATGCATTGCTGAATTGTTCGGATTCACAAGAAAGTCTACATCCCGGCTCTAATGCTAATTATCATAGACTACCTTTTACTCTGCGGAAGCATAAACTTTTGAAAGCCTTATTTCATTCAATCTTAACTTTATTGAAAAATAGCAAAGCTGAAATCATCTCTGGACTGCATCCAGGGCCTTATTGCACTTAAATACTACCGCAGCTCCACACATCATAACAACAGCTTCGGCTTGACTACAGACCATCCTACCTGATGCAAGTTTTTTATTTATATCTAGCCGGGAGAATAAGCAGTAGAGGGCAGTAATGAAACCTTCCAAACCATAATTTCTTCGGTTGAAGCATAATACAAAGAGTCACTATACTTTCATAAATTTCTCCACAAACCCTACATCTATGAGAATCCTATCTCCTAAATTTCTGACAGCCAATAAAAATTTCCCCCGAAAATTCTCCCTCAACTCTCTATCACTAACTTTAGTAATTTCCAACAACTTTGGTAAACTCTCTATCACCTCTAATATTTCATTTATCTGCCTATACTTCATTAACAAGCACCCATATCCCCTACAAATCCACATATGTGTTCAAAGATATTAACAAGGCAGCAGGTTTTGAGATTGGAAAGTTAATGCTCTGCTAAACACATCAAGTCTAAATGAAATTTTTTATAAGAGTGAAAAGGAAAAAAAAAAACACTTTGACTATCAAACATCAATCAGCCTTTCATGATCAAAAGCCATACATTTTACAAAAGTTCTAACAAGAACTAGAAACAAAGAAGGAAAAATCATCAAGCCAGAGACAGATTTGCAAAAGCCATAGCAGTGTGATCTAATATTGGCTACATTATATGAGAAAGAAGAGACCATAATCAAGCGCCAGCAGTCTTCGTATGTGTGTAGAATTATGTATTCAGAATTAGGTTATTCCATAACTAGGCGGTTCAAAAGACACATGTTTTACAAGTACCAAAGTTCAACCCGTTGAGCCCAACGAAGCCAATTTGATGAAGGGGGAAAAAGTTCAGAAACAGAATCACCAAATAAGTCCACAAAAAGAAAGAAACAATTTCATAAGACAACCGAATCCAGAAGTTGATCAGTCCCAAAAACAAGGAGCCTCTTTCAATTTCAACAGAATAATACCCTACCACACAATCACAAGAGGGATGATATAACAGTTGAATCAGTTCGAGAAACTCACAGAAACATAAGAGCAACTGGGGATGACGGAAAGAGAATTGGATTGGGCGTGGATGAAGGCGGCGACACAGAGATGAGAAGCCATTCCTAAACCTCTCTTGCTGGAGGGGACATAAGTGTGGACTATGTCCATGACTTTGCCACCATTTCTGAGCTGATACTGCAAGTATGCCTCTTTGTCCTCCGTCTCAAATTTCCGATCTTTCTCATTCCACACTATCTTCGGCACTTCTGGCTTCGACCCTGTTGCCGCCATAGTCAACCTGCTCAGCTTTGATGATAAAATTGAGTTGTTGATGAATGATGATGATTCCAGGGAATTGCCGAACTGGGTCCTTTTGGCTTTTTCTTTTTTCCTTTTCTTCTGCCTTTTTCTGCTTCTACTTTACTTATAGGAAGTACTATTTTATACTTTATACTATCTGACTTTTGTCTTACCCTTTCCATTTGCCTTTACTCAATAATTTCAATCCTCTTTTATAAAGGCTTAAAACAGTTGCAAGTAAGAACTCAGTCATCATCATCATCATGGACTCCAAGGTTGAGACCATAGCTCGGCTTGCTCAATGGAGAATCGACAATTTCGGGCCTTCTACTTACAGACGATCCGACCCTTTTAAAATTGGACTCTGGAACTGGTAATTTCTTCGTTTCTTTTTGATCATTCATGGAGAAACAAAAAAACTTCCATTTTCCAATTTTACTTTTTCAATTAATTTTGTTGTTGATTTTCCTTCTGAACCTAATTATATAGGCATCTGTCGATTGAGAAGAATCGGTATATGTATATCCGTTTGTTCCCGGAGCCATCACGAGTTTCCAAAGAACAGCCGCCGGTAGCCCGGTTCGTTTTGCGGGTCACTACCACCGGGACCAATCGGAAGCCTTACATTTCTCCCAGTAATTTTTTTCCCCCATTTTCTTTTTATTGTTATGTGATGATTCTCTTACTTGGTTTATTTGTCTTGAAGTTTTCCTCTGTTTTTCCTCCTTTTTTGCGCTCTATTTGAGGACTCGATGAAACAAGTGAGCTTCATAGGTTTGTGCTTGGTGATCTCAGTCTCGTTGGGACTTAAAATGTGCAAATGTGTGTCAATGTAACTGATTTTGTTGTTTAATTTTTAGATTCCGAATTTGATCGCGAGGTTTGCTCTTCCCCTGTCAATATCAGCAGCTCTGGCTGCAAAATTTCAATTTGAAAAGGCTTTAATCTTGACTGTTGGATGAACGAGATTGCTTAACTATGGGTGGTCCGTCGCAATTCAGATGGAATACAATAATGAACTTGCCAAATGAATCATCATTTACATCACTCATTATGGAACCAGTTAAGGGGAATCCATTGACTTGATTATGTTGCTTTGAGGTTGTATTTGTCACGTTGGGTACATTCTTTCTTCTCTTGAAGTTGTCTGTCTTTTGGAAATGATTGTCCTTTACTCTTGTGAATTGTGAATTGTGAATTGTAGATCTTCTATCATGTCCTATCATCCTTTATTCCACTTCGAGATTCTCCCATTAGTTCTAGCCCTTGACTACGGTGTTTGAGTTTCTGTTTATTTAAGCTGACTAACTGTCTTTTAAGACCAAAAAGAAGCTTGACTTTATCATATTTTTTCTGCTGGAATTCTTCATGCTGCTAAAGAAACAGAAAAAAGAAATTTTGACGAAGATGAAGTAGCGAATTTCATTTGAAGATTCTAAGTACCCACATCTGAAGATTCTAAGTACCCGCATCTGATTATGATACAAAGAAAATATGTTGGATTTATCTCTGAAAACAGTAAGTCTAAAAAAGTATAGTGAAGTTCTGCATGAGTGAACACTGATTTAGTTTGCTTAATAGAAATTGTAACTAAGGAGTCAGAGGTGTTAAATTGGCTTGTCGAATTGCAATGAAAATGTTGCTTGGCTTTCAACATCCTCCTGCTAGGACTTATCATCCTCTTGATCCCACTTGGAATCAGAGATATTGAATTTGGCATGACGAATTGCAATAAAATTGTTGATTGGCTTCCATCATCCTCCTGCTATAAATTATCCTCTTGATTTATACGACGATGATGTCATCTTTGAACTGGTGCCGCTAATTAACTTAATGGTCCACTTATCCATGTGAATGGACATTTGTACGATATATCTGGCATATCAACATTCTTAATAGGGATGGATTGTGACAGTCGTCTGCTTCTTTTTGATACATCACTTGCTATATAATTGTCTCGCCTTTGCCTTTGTTTTTGCCTTTGGGGAAGTGCTGTTCACATTCAGTTTGATTTATTCTATTGTTTATGCTGCAGTTCACGAGAGACTGCTTAGGACAAGTGATGATTTTGTCTGGCCCATTGATACTACTTTCCTGGGTCGGTTTATCATTGATGTTGAGTTTCTAGACCTGAAGATTTTCCCTACCAATGTGAGTCACTTTGATCCATTACATGAAGAGCTTTTCAAAGTTCAGTCATGGCGGCGAAAAAGAATACACCTTTGGCTTATGAGTTTGAGGAGGAAATTAAATGATTTTATATATTTCTGAAATATTGGAGTAGTTCCCATAGTTTTTGGTGGGAGAACTTGCGTGTCAGGCTCTCTCATTTGGTTTTTCAAATCTGTCTTCAAGTGGTATTTTAGTTGCATCCAAAATTTGCTTACTCAAACTTTCATCAAATTCTTTACCTTTAAACCTTAGGGTGGAGAAGGGAGTCCTGTATGGCCAAGTGATGGTATCATGCACTCTTTATCGACCAAGAGCACTCTCCGATGCCTCGCTCGCATGCTTGCTGAGTCTATCCATGCTGATGTTACTATCAACACTGCAGATGGAAGTGTGTGTTCTCACAAAGCTATTCTTTCTGCCAGTTCTCCTGTCTTCCACAGTATGTTCCTCCACAATCTCAAGGAGAAAGAGTCCTCCACAATTGAAATAGAGGATATGTCCACAGAAGCTTGCAATGCCCTTCTGGGTTACTTATATGGTACCATACAACAAGAAGATTTCTGGAAGCATCGATTGGCATTGCTTGGTGCAGCAAACAAGTATGACATGAAGGACCTGAAAGATGCCTGTGAAGAAAGTCTCCTCGAAGATATCAACACAGAGAATGTTCTGGAAAGGTTGCAGGAGGCCTGGCTTTATCAGCTCAACAAGTTGAAGAAGGGGTGTTTGATGTATCTGTTTGATTTCGGCAAAATTTACGACATCAAAGATGAAATCAATAACTTTTTCAAGCAAGCAGATCGCGATCTTATGCTAGAGATGTTCCAGGAAGTGCTCACTGTGTGGAAACCAGCATAAACTTTGGCGGTAATGTCTATCTTTGTTGTGGCCTCACCGTGTGTTGTTTAAATTACAGTGCATGATTCTATGATTCCAGTATATCTGTAGAAGAAGGTATGGCTATGTTAGTTTCCCTTTCCTCAAGAACTGAATACATGCAAAAACCAAAACGGATCTGTTTCTTTTTACTAATTTCTTATGAATGTTAAGATATTTCAGTTGTATGTCGGTAGCGATGTATGATCCATGCTGCCGATTCTACATAGGGAGGGATATTAGGGTGTTTTTTTTTTTTTTTGTTAAGATAGTGGGTTCGAGTGTTTGGTCTAATTAACTTTGGCATGGTACACAGATTGAAGGTTTGCATGAGTCATTTGAATTTCTGAGCATAACTCTTTAAATTTCAATTTAGTAAATTATGGATGAAAAAGAAAAAATCAAAAGAAGAACCACACAATTTCTTTTGTTTTTTCCTTGAGTTCCTCAATATTGGTTAAAAATGTTTTAACTTTATAATAATGAGTAGAATGGATGATTCTTGATCTTAAACGTTCAAAATATCTTCTGTCTCGTATTAATAGTACTGTCTTAAAATCTACTACCTAATTTGTTCATTATAAAATGAGTGCTGATACTAATAGTATTGTCTTAAAATCTACATCATCTGCCTATTAAAAATGAGTACTTAAATCTCTAAAGGTAAATTTGTTAAAAAATTTACAAGGCTGAATTTTAATTATTCTTTAACCCTTAATCCTTAAATGGATAAATTTGTTCATAAAAAATAAATGCTGATACTAATAGTATCATCTTAAAATCTTCTTAAACGAGTGGTGATACGTGTATAGAAAATTGGTAAAGGAAAATTTTACCAAAAATGATATGACTAAATTTTAATTATCTCATAATTCTTAAATTCTTAAATAGATAAATCTTTAAGAGTAAATTTATTAAATAAAGTACAAGGTTATATATTAACTATATATCATAATCATTAATTCTTAAATGCATAAATCCCTAAACGTAAATTATGAGCATAGCCATAAAGGGTCGTGATTTATTTTTTTACACAAATCATTATCCTTAAAAATTAATCATATCTTGCGAATTTTCCCTTAATTAAGTAGTACTAATACTTTTAGTTTTTAATTTTCAAATCTGTGATGGCATAATTTCGTTTTTATTACTTGACCATTTCAAAATTGGTTTAATTTATTTTATCCTTACAAGTTACAAATAAGACCGGAAAAGTAAATTCGTAAATTTATATAAGTTGGAGCGGAAAGACCTCGAAACGTCTGTAAAATGAACCGACTATCCAACTTTTCATACACATTTGGGAATTATCTCGAAATTTCGTCAGGCCTTTTTTAAATTTAAAGCTTCCACTCTCCATCTCTTTAATTCCTTTTGAATTCAGTCACCAGAAAAAAAAGCGGCTAAAAAAAATGTTCTTCTTCTTCGTCGGAGGCGTGAACCAGCAAGTGAAGGAGGTGTTGAAGCGCGGTGCCGGAAGGTGTATTGCCTGCGGATCAGCGGCCGACCTCGTGGAATACGAGAAGGTTCTGAAGATCTTTTTCCTGCCCGTGAAGACCTGGCCTGGGAAACAACCGGTGCTTCACTGCGACAATTGCAACCTCTTCTTCCCCCAATCCTTCGCTCCTCCGCCGCCGCCGGCGGACGAAAGGCGGTTGCGCTCGATTACTGACGTTTTGACCTGTCCTCACTGTTCTCGGGAGGTAGATCCGGAGTTCCGGTTCTGCCCCTTCTGTGGCTCCGCTCTCTGAAATCTTCTTGAATTTGCGATTTGTGATCTCTTATTCTCTTAGCTTAGGATTGGATTTTGTTGTCTAAAAATGTTGCGCGACTGTCTTCTGTAGTTTTACTTTTTCTTTTTTTCCCCCTCTAAATAAGATCCTTAACACTTTTGAAACATCTATTCTGATCCCTGATCTCTAGTTACATTGAATCGATTCAAGTTATGGTGTTAAAACTGTACCCACTCCGATTACATTTCAGTTCGGAAGAGAATAAATGATTATTTATGGATTAATCTATATCTATATCTATATAATAATAAATTAATAATAAAAAAACTCAGATAGACAAAACTGAGATAGTTTTTCACTTTGCCACGTAGGACTGGAAATTTATCATTTTTTGACTTATTAAAAAAGATAAAAAAAATAATTTATATCTTCAGTTAAAAAAACCAAACAACACAACAAAGACCAGCGGCAATTTTAAACCTTTCAGTAATGAAAAAAAAAAAGGAAAAAGAAACGATCGAACCTCCCATTCTTTTGACACGGCTTTTTTGAAACTTCATAAATCTTAGCCAATCATTTGCAGATTTTTTTCGTTGCCAAATCTTCTATTCTGATAGAGATATTTTTCAATTTTAAACCATAGGCTTTGTTTGGTTGCATTGAATTGGGACCAAGAATTGGAATTGGAGCTCTACAATTTCAATTCTTGTGTTTGGTTGCTAAAAATAAAGGTCCAAGAATTGTAATTATAATTCAAAATGGGGCTCAATTCTTTATTTTCAATTTTTTTGTGGAAGCAAATAATTAGAATTCAAATTCAACGCACTTAAAAAAAAACATGCGAGTCATAGCCGGGTCGTTTCCGAGTTATAACCTAAACGGGTCGTCCTATCAATTTTTGTCTTTTGGTCCTTTTTTAATATATTTTTTATAATTTTATTTTTTTCCAGCTTTTTTCTTTTTCTTTTTTTGCTTTCACCGCTTCCTGGCGTTTTTCTTTTCTTCTTTTTTGGGTTGTTTGTCTCATTATTATTATTATTATTATTATTATTATTATTGTTATTATTATTATATCATATATATCATTTTAATAATTATCAACAAAATCAATATAAAATTAATATTGTATCTTTTTTACAAAAAAAATAAAAAATATAGCTGTAACCAAAAAAAATTAATAACTAAATATTTTAGTTTTGGTTAATATTTTTATTATATTATAACATAGTAAACAACATAACATTTTCATTTTTTTAATAGAAATTGTTCCATATATACACCTATATTATAATACATATATATATATTAACTATTCATGGCATCTTTTCACAAAAAATATGTAAGTTGAGTTTTAAGTATCTATTATTTCATATATAATTATATACTAAAAATAAAAACATTTAAGCATATATTATATACTAATGTTAATCTATGTATAAATGAACCTCAATATTCATAAACTGAATTTACAATGTTATATAATAAAAATCTTTTTAAATTTTTGATATAAATCAAAACATCAAAAACTAAAAATTTTGAAAACTAATAAAAGAAAGGAAAATAAAGATATTTTACGTGTTACTTGTTTGTGTATTAAGTGAGAATTTTAAGTATCATATTAATAGTTCTTATACGTAATAATATTTCTTTTGTTTCCAACAAAAATGTGTGCACATAATAAATTACAAAATTGATATAGCAAATTAATTAATAATAATTCATTTTAACAAAAAAAGTAAAAATTGTATTAGTTAAACAACCACAAAGTAATTTATTTTTTGTGTACATAATGAATTTATTTATTTTTTTGTGTTATACATATCCATAACAAAATAAGTTTTTTTTTAAATAAAGTTTTTGACAAGAAGTATAAATTGTACTAGTATTAGTTATACAATAACAAACTAATTTCAATTTTAAAGTATCCAAATTTTTATACATCTAAACGCAAGAATTGGAATTAGAACCTTAATTCTAGTAAATTTTCAAGATCTCCCAAACAAGAGAATTGAGATTGAATTACAATATTAATATCTCATTTTCAATTTAATAATATTGTAATTCCAATTCAATTACAATTTAATCTAACCAAACGGAGCCTAAATCTTATTGTCGCTGATGAGTTGCTCTTGAAGAATCAAACATTAGAGGTTATTGCCGTTTAATCCTTTCAACTCAATCAACGTTTCGAAGTCGGATTGATCTACCACGTACTGGTTTAGAGGTTATTCTTGAGTTATTTCTGAACAATTCTTTTCAATTAAATTTATTTTTTCTTTTGTTACTCTTAATTTACTCTTGAATTGGGAAGGTACTAATGGCGGGTTCTCTTGATTTGAGCACAAAATTGAGGCGATGGATAAGAAGCTGGTGAAGAGAAGGTGACAAAAAGAAAATGAAATTTTCTGTTAATTTTGCAGTTTTAAATTCGCCAAATGTGTTGGAATGAGGAGGTATAGTTCATGAATTAGCTACTTCAGGAATTCATCAATGATCATCTATACCCAACAATTAATGATCATATGATAATTAACTGTGGTAAACCTAAAACTATATTGTGCTTTCTTACACTTGCTTCAACTTCGAGAATTTTGTTCGATTCAATCTCAATGGTAGCTTTCTGATTTTTCTTTCTTTGTTAATGCAGAGAAAACTGAATATAAGGACCAAGGAGCTATCAAATTTAATATTAGGAGTCTTTGAAACAGGGGTACGTATGATAAAGATCCATTTTTGAATTGTGTTGATATATGTTATTTTAATCATGCCGGAATCAGGGGTATTTTTATCATATGAAAATATCAAATTCATACTCTTTCTCATAAAAAAGTTTAGGCTTGATACTCAGATATTTGACAACTTTGTGAGTTATGCATTGTGGAACTTGGTACCGCGGAATGAGATGCTACTTATGTTTTTGCTGTGGAACTAATCTGTTTTGGGACTTGGCCATTGTCATATCTTGCAATTAATACAAAATGTTTTTATGAATTTTACTACTGATCTTGCTCCAAGGGCCTCTTTGATACCAAGGGGTACAACACTTTTCTGGTTTCTTGAAGGAAATCAATGTATGGGTGGCTAAATTAGACTGTTGCTAGAAAAGCTATACCAAATTTGTGATTCCAAATTTCTTTAATATGTTTAATTAGCATCTGATTTTTTTTTTCTGTTTTTAAACTTTTTTTTTGGTTTTTGAGAAGGGACGAAAAACGTATCACTTCTTCTCCCCATACCGCCTCTCTCTACCAAAAACGAAGAATATTCAACATCGACATCTCCATATCTTCCTGCATATTTTTGTATTATGTTCAAGTTCTAATATGGATCTTTGGGGTGTTAATGAAGTCTGGAGAACCGCTGTAAATTAAACCTGAAGCTTTCAAGCTTATCCATGTCTCACGGGCATCTCTGGGTGAGGTGAAGAATGAAAATGGCGCAAATAAGATTCTCCTACGCTTGAAATTGATGATAGATATTTTGTCATTAGGACTCTATCGACTCGAGATATGCCACATGTTTTGTTTGATTTGGTTTACACAAAGAATTTGAGGTGTCTTATGACTGGAAAGAAAGCAGCCTGCCTTTGCATTTCTTATCGGCATGTGAAGTGTTGCATTTAATATCCCCAAGATTTCTAATCCCACGATGAGTCAAATTTAGGGATTTCTTAAAAAAAGAAGCATCTCAATGAGGAAATAGTTAGAGATTTCTAACTTTTTGTGCTATTTGATTCACTTCATGTTCGATGGTATTGTTTTCTCCTTCACCTCAAGATTGATGATAAAGATGTTATTGTTGGGACTCTTTCCGCTCCGGATATGGCACAAGTTTTGTTTTATTTTGTTTGACATAGAGTTTAAGGTGCCTCGTGATTGCAAAGGAAGGAACGTCTACTAGCTTGAATATTTGGGCGAGAAAGGATGTGCTCCGGGTGATGATGAATAAGACCTGGAAGAAGATGAACAGTATGCAAGCTTCTACTCCCCAGAATGGTAAACTTGAGTCAGAGAAGTCTGCTACAAAAGCTGCAGCTCTTTGTGTAATCCAACCCTGCCGAAAGTTCATCGCCTAAGGTGGTAAAGAATAGCAAACCAGTACCTGATGGAAATGATGATGACAACGATGACGATAGTCAACTTTGTGACTAAGGCGATAAAGAAGGATTTGAGCTATCTTTTGAGACCTTGTAGTACAACTTTTACTATACTATTTTGCTCAGGATTTTTTTTTTTGGATGTAGTCTTTTGGGAATTTTGGTTGCATTACAAATTCTAAGAAATGAGGTAGCAAAATAAAAAAAAAATAATGAAACTCATGATACAACACACTGCAAGGGCTATGTGTTCTGTTTTTACTTGTGAAGTATCAAAATTTCAAAACTGTTTGCAATCTATTGTTATTCTATTAGTATTAAAATTTAATTTGTTTAAAATTCTTTTGTGTTTTTTTTTTCAAGTGACAGAATGAAACATTCAATTTTAAATTACAATCCTTTTGTCTACAGTTTTGTAATTTATAGAGGTTCACGAAAATACAATCTCATTTTCAAGTTGAATTATATTTGCTACATTCATATTCAGCCATAGTAGCTACATGGACGTCTAATTTTATTTTATACACATAATTATCGACTAATTATTTTCTTTTAATTTCGTCTAGACGTCTAATTTTATTTTATAATAACTATCGAGCAATTATTTTCACGATAATTTTTTTGTCCCAACATCTAGTAAATATAATAAAATCATAACGAATAAATAAAATCAACCTCATCTAATTTTGATGATGGTTATGTAGAACAAAATTCCAGCTATTGTATCAATGCAATAAAAATGTAAATGCCAACTACGCAAATTAAGTTCACAAACTTACTGTTCGATTCAATCTTTTTCCCGTCCAATCATCGCTTCTCTTACATATGTTATCACCGACTCACAATCTCATTATTCACATTCAACACATCAGGTATGAAATTCAAGTGCTTTAAACAAGATATAAAATGGGCAACAAGAAGTTTAAACAGCAATAAATTTTCAAAGGACAATTGGCCAGTGGCATCATGTAAATCAATTTATATATGAAGAGGCGGAGAAGAGAATTCTGTTGCGTTATGAAGACTAGAGTTTATGAAAATCAGATTCAGTTAACAATGAATTTTCAATTTCATCAACAGAGGTCTCCGTATGATACATAAAATGTACATTTTCCTGTGCTTGAGCATTTCAGGATGAAGTCTTTTCAATGAGATGACTGCAGAGAAAAGAAGTTAGCATAAGCATTCTGGGGTGAACAAAAGGAAGGGCGCCATAACCGGCATTAGAGGAGAGCTAAGAAAAAGCCTAAGTAGCTGTACACTGCACATCCAAAAACAATAAGTGCACAGTTTCATCAGTTCACAATCTGTTATTTCCGAAACCAAAACCATCTCTTGCTGCCTCAGGTAGTATAACACAGTTCCCGTCTGAGAAGTGAAACTCTTATCAACGAACAGGTAAAATTAGCCACCAGTTAGAGGAAATAAACAATCATCTGGGCTGCTGGCAAGATTTTCGATGGCTTATTTCGTGTAGAGTTGAACTTTGAAACCATTGGAACCCGGCTATACTGATTTGCTGAAAGGCAGTTGTTTTTCTCCTCGGTCCACTGCATCTCTCCACATCCTATATCTTACCCCTAACTTGTCATAGGACACTGGCATGTTCCAAATATTATCACCATTGAGCATTCTCTCTTGTTGACCAACTACAAGTCTTAGGTCTTCATTTAAAACCTGCAGGAGCATTGAAGCACACATGAAGAAATTAAAACATACTGGGCAGATGGTAGATAAAGGAATGAGACAAAAACTAAGTCGATAGCATCCTAAAGACTTCAATGTTTTAACTCCAAAATCATGACCAGCTGATTTGGCTGGATGCTTTAAAAGTAAAAGAAAAAAAACACACACAAATTGTATTGGATAAGCATAAGATAAATGTCAATCCATATTTTTGATTTTTTAATGGGGCAACATCGTAGTAATGCAGCCCTTGAAGGTGCATGTCATTCTATCAGAGAAATTTTGCACGAAGAGAGATAGATTACCTGTTCAGCAAAATGCCTCCATAAGTTCTTCATGAAAGGTATATGCTTCAGCACTGGAGCAAAGTCCAGTGACATTCTGTATAATAATCTGGTCTTTTGTCTCGACGCAGGTAAGCACACATGTAGTTGGTGAAGATGTGTAGTACATTGATCAGTGCTCCGCCCCTCTAACTTTCCTGGCTTTGAGATTCCAATGGTGGACAAAACCATACAAGGTGGTCGAAATTCCATGTCTATAGGGTAGGGGTCCCAATATCCTTGGAGTCCAGAGGCAGGTGTTAAAAACTTAACCAAGCTGAGAATAGAAAATAAAAGCAATATGAGGGCCAATTAATTCACAGCACAAGCTATCAAGTATCAGCTTCATAAAAAATTACATATCTCATGCTTGGATTGGAAGTCACAAGATTGAAGAATGCCAACCTCGGTACGCTCCATCCCTTGGCAAAAGTGGATGTGTGGGTGAAAGGAGCATGCGCTAGATCCAACAGATTGTCCAATAGTAGTCCATGTTCAACCGGAAGCTCCATGACAATCTGCAACAGAAACAAACCGAAAATAAAAATGAGATTTCCTTATACACAAGACCATAATTATTACAGAGGGGCCTGGCTCATTAACTACAAACCTCAGCGTGTATTTGAAATCCTGAAGGTGGTAATAAAGAAGGTATACTAGCCGTTGGAGGATCACTGCCGGGCCATATCCATATCATTCCATCTTGCTCAAAGCATGGCAACGCCTTGATCTTTACATTGAGAAATTTTGTCGAAGGCATTTTTTCACATTTCCCATCAGTTGAGTATTCCCAACCTGCGACAGTCATAGTCAGTTGATCTATATTTATAAGACAAAAATCTAAATATTCTTAAAGCCTCACAAAAACGTGGAGAATTCATCAGATTTGAGCTCACCATGATAAGGACACTGTACTCGACCATCTTTTACTGTACCGAGGTCAAGTGGACAGGCTCTATGGGCACAAGTGTTACGGATACATCCAGGTTTTCCATCTTTACCTCGAAAGATTACCCATGGCTCCTCGAAACAATCAATTGGGATCTGAAAAAGGAGGGAAAACATAGAAGATATTAGAAAAGGAATGATATAGGATGATAAGCTGCAAGCTGAAATATACTGATTGCACACATGTTTATCAATGGCGCTAACACTGAAATATAGGACTCTGTCTTTCCTCCTATCCATGAAATTTTGACGGACTGAAGTGAAAGGACACTCCTCTCACTGGAGGCTATCTAAAACTGGTTATACTCAAAATATTGAATCTATATCTGAAAGTAGGGATTCTAAGGCATCCAACTTCATTTAATTCCTTAGAAAGCAAAAGTCTTACTATTAAGGCTGGCAATACCCAAAAAAAAGCTGAAAATTGACTAACCATTTTGTCATTCTTTAGGTCTGAAGAGAAAGCAACAGGATACCAGAAGTTCTTCAGGCAAGGGTTATAGGGCTGCACAGGACCAGAAACATTCAAAGTTCTCCTTTGCAGCTTCGCTTTTGCATTTTCAACAGATTCTTGAGAAGTGCTGGGGGAAGAGCGCAGGCAATTATCTTCTGATCTCAGTGTATCTTGAAGCAACTTATCATTGACCAATGTCTCCATGTAAGCTAGTTTATCTAAAGCAGCTGCTACCCTTGATTCAGATATATGCACCTGTTGTTTTCAGGGGAAAAGGTATTAGAGTTGGGATGAGTATCACTCCAAGTGAGCTATTAATGAGTAAGAACCACCCCAGAAAAATATTGGAAAAAGAAAAAATATTGACAGATTCCCCTTGGTACAAGTACAAGCATCTCATATGAAGCCATCTACACAAGCGTAGAGTATCACTGGAGAAATTAAGTACAATTACAAAATAATGTTGAAAATATTTCTCCAACCTGCTTGTGGGCTTGAGCAAGCTCGTCTTGCAACTCTGCAAGCTCCTTTTTCATAGTACCAATAGACTTAAATTCACGAGCGAGAGGGTTTAATACTTCTACTACCTGCACAAGGAATTCTGTATTATAAGATAGAATTATTTATATGACAGAAACCAAGCTTCCCAAATGATTCCATTCCATTGAATGTGATTCTTAAATTTACAGGACATGTTGAAGTGCATGGTAATAAGTATCACTTCATACAAAAAGGGAAGTCTCGTGGGAGTCAGAAAAGCTTTCCACTTAGTGAAAACCTAGAAAGGTTAGCTCACTAACCTTCTCATTTGAGCTGAATTATTGTGGGATACAAATAGTAATTAGCACACAAAAAACATGATAACATCATGGCACTATTACTCTGGAATAACCAACACTGAAGCACTGAGCCATTGAAAATCATACCTTTTCGTGGAGGAGCATGATAGTAAGAACATCTTGCCGTGCTCGCCAATCACAGTACTGTATGTCATATCTTGCAACTTCTAATGCCTGATTTACATCCAAGAACTTCCCTTTGCTTTGGGGAACTTTAGATCTTGGATCCTCTACATGAAACAGAGGATACCACGGGCTTTTCTTATCGACGGACGTCCCCTCCTCTCCAAACACTGCAAATACTCTAAACCCTCCCCTCACAAACTGAAGAATTCCAATAAAGAATTATCAACATTAGTTTGCTTTCCCTTGCAATGGGAAAAAGCTCAAGTTATAGATGATTTATAAGCATTCCGCATAAACATTTCAACACATTACTATCATTAAAACATTACTTTTGGATGTCCCTGCTCTTCGCTTATGCAAAAACCTTAAATCAACTTACTTCAATATACTCTCTGAGTTACTCATTTGATCAGGGAAAAAAACAGCAAAAATTATTATCCCTAACTCAGGACAAAATCAAGCTTTCTCAGCATCCAAATCTACCAAAACAAAAGTGCCCAACATTTCTTCAAAAAAGAAAAAAAAAAAAAAACTGCCCAACAAACACAAAGCCAGCAATTTGAGCAATACTCATACAATAATGATATAAACTCCATGATCCTAAATAAATTTAAGAAACAATTAAACAAGTTTGAAGTTTCCACGTTAACTAGATCATCCCAGTATATCCCAGAACAAAATTAAACATTCTGAATTCATTATCATTTCCCACTTCCAATTAAAGCAATTTACAGTTCGAACCCACCAAAAAAAAAAAGAAGCAAACTTAACAAATAAAGCACAGAAGGTGGCAGAGCATACCCTTTTGGAGCCAGACTTGGAAGAAGCACCAAGAGAAATGGGAAGAGAAAGGGCTGCAGCAGTGGCAATGGAGGAGGACATGGCGGCCCGAATTTTACGGGGGGGGATTAATTCAGACCTGAAAGAGACGTTGTAGAAGAAGAAGAAGGAGAAGGAGAAGAAGAACAGCAGCCAAGAAGAAAAGGAAAAAGCAAGTGAAAAATTTCACTCATTTTCTATTGAGAAACATTTTAGTTGTTTTTTTCTGAGATTTTCAAAATACGGAGGATCATTCGGATTTTGTTGATAAGAGGGCAGTGTTTCGCGCGATCTCACTCTGCCTTCCATCACTTGCCACGTGTAAGTATGTAGGGTTCCCCGTGCTTCCCACGTGGCGTGCCTCTACTCCACATCCTTTGCTTGAGGTCTTTACGGCGTCGTTGGACAACTGGACAAGGGAAAACGAAAGTATCTTCTTCTTTGCTATGAGAGAATTCAAATTGGGGTTGCCAGATTGGAGGGAGGGAGATATGTTATTTAATACTCATGGCCTTTATCATTGCCTTTTTTATCTTGTTTATGAAAAGGAATATCTATCTATTCCCCCAAAGATATTATGTTACATTTGTTTTGGGTAATACACTATCGTTTTACTACTGCACAAATTTTTTTCATGAAAATACGTATTCCAATGTCCCAAAATGATTATACAATTTGAATTTTCATTTTTAATACGATTTAAACTAAAAATAAAAATTTAAACTGGACAAGCATTTCAGAACAGATGGAGTATCAAAGTATGGAAAAACAGAATTGAAATTATCCACCACAATAAAAGATGTAACATTGTGATTTCTTTTGTGACGTTCTGCTATACTAACCAAAATCTAAAAGTAATGACACTTGTACCGAAGAATTCACAATGACTTTTTATAATGACTAATGTATTTTTCTGTACATGTATAAAACAATTTATGTATCTGTTTTCATGAATGACCAATTTTTTCAAGATAAAATACTACAAGGGAATGAATGCGTACTAGATATAAAAATAAATAGTATGTGCTATTGTGCATATAAATATTGAAAAAATTTAAATAGCACATTTGCATATAGCAATTCTCTGTCCTATCCAAACACTAGCGGGTTGTCTATAAACCTTAATTTGTTTTCTCAGTTTATATACATTGTTACATTCTTTCTTAATTTTGTCTTTACCTTATTACGATTATAACATAAGGTTTATCAACAACATAAAATATTCTTTCTTCCCAAAATGATTACTGAATTTGAATTTTTATATTTTATACAATTTGTGCTAAAAGCAGAAAAATCAAATTAGATAATCACTCTGAAATAGAGAGAGTACACGAATTAACTACAGATCTTCAAAACTTCATGACTGAAAATGTAAGAGCATGGTATTTTATGAATAAATCAATAATTAATAAAGGGGACTCTTTTTCTAGAATGAAAGGATTATCATCTCCATTTTTGGAGATGGGCGGTTATTCCAATTTTTATTTCTTTTCTTCTAGTTTGTGGGAATAAATCAGTCACATGTATAAAAAATTGGGGCGAAATTTATGCGACCGGATAAACACGAAACTAAATTTCTGTCAAAGTTACTTGGACTCCCATCTCAAAATTAATTGACAATGAGTAGAGTAACTCAAATAACTTATAAATAGCTGACAAATTTTTCATGATAGCGATGTGGAATTTTTTATCCCGACACCCTCCCTCATGGGATTGCACATCACAGCATAAGTACCAAATATATTATTGGGTTAGTTTATAACTCCGCATATACTTAGTAGACAAGCCCGTATATCCGGTCCATAACTCCGGATATACTGTCAAGTTTGTAACAATCTAAAAATTTAAGATACTTTAAGTTCATCTTGTTCGGTATAAAACCTTAGATAGAAACGGAAAGGCGTGTTAATACTAACAAATTAATGACTACAAACCGTATTCGTGGTTTTAATAATAAATGTTGGCAATTATTGCCAAATGTTTGATTAATTCATGATGCATAAGCTACATATTCGTCCTAGCTAGCGTACATGATTTAAAGATGTAGAAAACTAATGATGACGAATTCAAGCTATAAGGTGAAGCATGTTGGTGAAACAAGCAGGATACTCACCATGCTATTATGACTAGACAAATTTGAAAGGAACATGTGGAATGTAGGAAAAACATAGGATAATGAAATATCAAGGTGAAATAGGCAGCACACATAAGCTATTTTGGTTCCTTCAATTGCTGATTGTTCCAAGCTATATGGGACACGTGGAGAATCTAGGAATGAGGATTAAGCAAAGCTATGAACCAAAAAGCTGACTGAACTATCCTAGCAAAGACTAATCAAAACCTAAAGGGGGCATTGGGCAAGTTTAAGAGATTTAGTAGATGACTAACCATATTAAATGCTTAAGCAAATAGCTAAACCACATAGGTGAAGCAAATAGGTTAGTCAGCTATCATATGAATGAGTCAGCTAGTCTAACATTTAGGGGATTATACATATAGCTGAAGCACGTAAGTGAAGCAAGATGGTTACTCATGAATCTAATATGAAAAGAAATCCTATTAGGACATGTGGCACATCAAGGAAAGCCTAGACTAGTGACTTACAGAAGATAGTTTGATGAAGCATAAAGGTGAAATAAGGAGGTGAAAAATGATTGTAAATAGTGGGGAATGGGAACTTGTTCAAAGCACACCAAAAAATTCAGAATTAAACAAGAGAGTCAGTGGAGTCTTGTGAGTTTTCAAAGCTAAAGGAAAGGAAGGAAAGATTGATAATTAGAGTCGCTTCGATCTCAGCTTAGAGAGGCGATACTTGTATTGAAACAACATCACGTCTCGGTGAGTACTCTCACTCTTTCTGAAACTAATTTAAAAACTGGGAGTATGGGAATATGTTCAAAAGATACTACACACTTGAGCACGTTCTTGTAAATATGCTGAAATATCAAATGCATATCGTTGTATGACTCGGTGGTGAACTTTAACGGCCCGAGATATATGTTTTACTTGTTATTGTACTGAAGTAAAGTTGAATTATTTATGTGTGGTATGTTGCTTAGATTATATGATTGATTAAGTGAATGCTGAATTTTCCGATGCTGTTTACCACCTCGGCGGAGTTTACAATGTTGTTGTTCAATGTATTCCGATGGTTTACTTTATCTCCCTGGATATTATTTGTGCATGCAAGAGTTAAGAGTTGGGCCCTGCCTTGGTTAGCGAAACTAAACGAGTCAAGCATCGGGCTTGGTCGGATAGCTAGTTACCTTGACTAGAATTATGATGCTAAAGAGTCATCAAGAGTTGGTACCAAGGGAGACATAAGGAAAAGAGTTATAAAGAGTTAGTATTTGGGCTAAATGCCCCAGAGTTATGATCCGGCTTGGGTTCACCATCTATAGTGCTATATAGGTCCGATTTGGCCCCTTGTCGCGATCCCCGTATCCATGTTACTCGGTTATTCTAAGTGTTTTGATTGTATTATATGTTTCATAGTTTTTATGTGAAACTGTTTTAGAAGTGTTTCCTTTAAATTAGTTTATTAAAATTATTGTAGTAGTATAGTGAGAACCTCATTGAGCTCGACGCTCACCCCCTATATATCTATATATTTCCCCCCTTCCCCTCCCAGGAACACATTAAGGAATATACTGTTATCGAAGGAACAATGTTCTCAGGAGACTTGAGTAGGACTTGAGATGGTCTATACCTCTGCTTGAGTTTAGAATATCAAGTAGGTTGAATAATGTTGTTGTTAAAAGATTGTTCTCTAATATTATATAGAGGTAATGTTTAGTGCAGAATAAGTTAATGTACCAGTTGAAGTTGAGATGTTATCATTCTTTTAATAAAAGTTTGGTTTTATTTAATCTTTTGATGTGCAATTAAGTGTTAGTGCGCCTTAGGCGTGAGCCTGGTGGACATCTCGGTGTTGCTAGCCTGACTTGTCTTTCACTTTGATTAAAAAGAAAAAAAATGTTTAGACAGAAATAGGCTAGTCCCGGGGTGTTACAGGTGGTATCAGAGCACGGTAGCCGACCCTTAGGGATGGTATCAGACTAACTGAGTTTAGATAGTGGAGCTTTAGAAACAAAACTTTCCAAGTAATATAAGGGGGATGTGATTAATATCTAGTGTTGCGAATTCTACTGGACCTCTTGGGAATGGCCAACCCAAAGAGTTGAACCTTGGGAACCCCAACATTTGACATGGTGATACATAGATTGTGTTACAACATGCATCGTAGGATGTTCAATGAGACAGGTTAAGAGTGTTAGGAAATAAAATAGTGAAAATTGTGGTCGAGGGATAGAAGAATTGTATTATTTGCATAAATTTCATATATGAAATGTTCAAACAGAAATGAGTAAACTCTATGTGTAGTACTTGCATATACTTGCATCTTGTTTAACAATTCTTGTGATGTGATTCTATGGTAATTAGTTTTGCTCTGGAGTTGTTTATTTTAAATGTCAATGATTACTATAACAATGTATCATCACTTGTTAAAGATAAGAGATAAGAGATATTGATGCTTAGAGTAATGGAAAAGATTAGCGATGCAAATATGATTGCTCCAAGGTCACTTTTCCAAACAAAAAAAAAAGTCAAAATCTTTAGACGTGAACTAGTGACCTAAAGAGAGAAACATAAATAAATAAAAAATTGCGGTAGTATCTTGTGGAGGGGAGCAAGAACTCATGACCATAAAAGATCATTAACCCTAAAGAGTTTGACGATTACTGACTTTCGAGGACGAAAGTCTTTAAGGTGGGGAGAGTGCAACAATCCAAAATTAAGATACTTTAACTTGAAATTGTTCGGTATAAAACCTTAGATAGAAACGGAAAGGCGTGTTAAAACTATCAAATTAGTGACTACGAACCGTATTCGTGGTTTAAATAATAAATGTTGGCAATTATGGCCGAATGTTTGATTAATTCTTGATGCATAAGCTACATATTTGTCCTAGCTAGCATACATGATTTAAAGATGTAGAAAACTAATGATGAGGAATTCAAGCTATAAGGTGAAGCATGTTGGTGAAACAAGCAGGATACTCACCATGCTATTATGACTAGGAAAATTTGAAAGGAACATGTGGAATGTAGGAAAAACATAGGATAGAGAAACATGAAGGTGAAATAGGCAGCACACATAAGCTATTTTGGTTCCTTCAATTACTGATGGTTCCAAATTATATGGGACGTGGAGAATCTAGGAATGAGGATTAAGCAAAGCAATGACCCTAGTGCTGAAGGTGAACCAAAAAAGTGACTGAACTATCCTAGCAAAGA